TATTCCCTGTGATCCCAATGAAAAACTTTGAAGAATTACTTGAGGCATGCTTTATACTCATGTAACCCACACCATGTAAAAATTCTTCCTTAAAAAAATAAATAAAGCTTTCTTGAGTAAAATCGAGCAGCTTGCTTTAATATTTGGCTGCTTTTTATCACATGTACTGCTATGGATTGGTTGCATTTATAATCTTTATGTTGTTCATTCCAGTGTCATATCCTTTGCTAGGCCAAAAAAGTAATTAGTTATTGACTTGTTGGATTCGAAATGCCATGAAACATACTATTAGTAAATTGACTATGCTATGTGGATAGAATGTTCATGTTAAAAGAGTCCTTATTAAATGTTGTTAACCACTTATTTCTTGTCCTATAAAGCTCCTCTAACCAACCATTAATATGGAGGCTCCCTTCTATGATCATTTCAACCCATGTTTTCTCGAACTACTCCTTAGTGTCACACTAACTCAAACATTTATAAAAGAGTCATCTGACTTTATCATTACTATTAAAGCACCAAACATTTGATGGAGCCTTCTTAGAGATGCCATTGGCATAGTCTATGTTGTGTGCTAGGTAATGTAACTTCTATAGCCCTAGCCCTAACATGATCTTGATTAGTAAATATTGTTATAGGATATTTATCACTCATTATTCATACAAATATTCTAAACAACTAGTAAATGATTTAATTATTTCCTCTCACAAGAAAGCCACTCAAACTAGAATGTTTTGCCAATGATTATTAACCTCGATAAACGGTGAACATACTAAATTATATTTATTAAGCATATAGCTAGTACAACAAATTATTGTATCTACAAAGCAGTCATAATCTATCATACACATTCCGTCAATAAAACAAGATTCAATAATCTATCCAATTTATCAATTTGGACATCCCATGCAAATATAAGGTCATCAACTTGCCATTAATTACATAATTGAATTAAAGAATTATCATATTCAATTTTTTTTTCTTTTTTTTCTCTTTTTGAATGTAATTGTAAGCATCTTTCTTAGAGGATACAACATTCTCGATACCTCCAACTTCATCCGCAAGATAGGAAAAAATATCACGGTTCTAATTCTGGCCTTTGTCATTATTTTAAGAACTAAAGCATTCTCATCACTCATGTACCTATATGATATGAGAAGATACTTATCTTTTTGCCTAGCCAAATCATTTATTGTGGCTTTCTATAAATTTTTTTACCTTTTAATTTCCATCTTTATCATCTATAACCTAATCATAGCAAGACAATCCGTTTTGGTATCTGAGTTTTTATACTTTATTTGTAAATTCAAACCAAGACCCTTCTTGAAACTAGATTTTGAACAAACAAAGTCCTTATATCTTATCTTTATGGAATTGGCCTAGTAATAGTGATGTTCTTTGCGAACACTAAAGTCAACATTATTTGCATATCTGTAGTACATCTCGCATGTCTCCTTCTCACACTTGTACACACCCTGTGAAAGAATGAAAAAAATATTATGAGAAACACTCCAAAAGTGTTTATAACATTTTACAATAATTCTCTAAGCATACACTGTGTACACGCCTTGTATATAATGTGTACATCTTTGCACACAATATGGACAGTCTTGTACACAGTGTGTAGAACTGTACACAACCTCTAAAATATTGTGTACAGTGTAAAAAATTATATACATTGTGCACAAGATTGTACATAGTGTGTACAAGGGAATAAATACACAGGTTGTATGAGGAGCAGAAGGCTTTCAAAAAAAATTACAAAAAACATAAAAAGTGTATAAGCACAAAATGTATTGAAAAGTGGAAAAACACCACACATATCATTGAGCGCCATTTATCTAAGCACAAATTTCAACTTTTCTTTCAATATTTCTAACTAAATGTTGAAAATTTTCAAAAGAAAAAAAAAGGCGAGAACAAACATTATTACGGATGTATATTCCAATTGAGGCATTCCTCATAAGAATAAAATTAAATAATACATAATAATCCGTAAAAAATTTGCTGATAAGTTTAAATCTACAGTTCCTCCTTCTCAATTGACTTCCCGTTCATCCAAACTTACAATCTCCGCACAATCCTTTAAACTTATTGTCTGAAAGTTTTTAGTCTTCGCATCTTGTGGGCATATCATCTCATCAGAGATTTGAATGTCATAAAAAACATTCTCCATCTTCTTCGCCAGTTCCTCCAACATTTTGGAGATGATTCAAGAAAAAGTTTTATTCATTGAAAACTCGTGACCTGACGATCCGGCCCAGCTATATTAGTTGGCGCTCCTTTAAAAAAATATATGTGGCTACACAAAATAACTTAACCCAAAAGTACATCCTGATTATGGATTGGAGTCCGGACGTAGAGTTATGTCCAGACTCCTTATAGAATAATTTCTCCCTAAACAGAGGGTAAAAAATATATGGAAGGGCATATCCAAGGGGGGCCGTGGGGGCACGTGCCCATGGATTTCCAAAAAAAAAAAATCTTCTCAAAGTTTCCCAGTTCAAAACATTTTTTTAATAGGTTGGATTGCATAATTACTCCGTCTCCTTTCCTTTGACTCCACTTGGACCTCTTCTGAGAGAAAGACCGCAGTTCATACATGGTGCCAAAGCCTGGAGGTCGACTTTGACGTCATCTACAAATAGCATGGAAATGACAAAACGTATATGATGACCTTCTACAGGATCGAGTTTACCTGGAAGAGAAAATACAAGTGACAGCAAGCAAAAACTAGGGGTTCGGGTAAAAAGAATACCTCTGTATTCTGGGATTGTATTACTCTTTGTAAAATGGAAGAAGACAAGTAGACAACTCCTCTCTTTCTCCTCTATGTATAACCAGCTTTTCTAAATGCTATTTTTGTATAAAGTAAAAAGGCTGCAAAAATAACGGCTAAATAGAAAATAGTAAATAAGATAGTGGGGACTAAGTAGTTGTATAAAATGTGCCGCCAGTATGACTAGTTATCCGGTATTGCATCAGTCCTCCCCGGCTTCGGAAGAGCTCGACTCCGACGAGCTGATTGAAATGAGGGCATCGTCCGCGGGTATGTATGGTGAGAGGTCGGAGACGTTGAAGGTTGAGGTTGTGTGGCAGTCAGCTGGTAGATCTACGCTGTATGCATTGTCATTGATTTTGGCGGTGATAGGTAATGGACCAAGCTTACGACGGCTTAATTTCGAGAAGGTTCCAGGTGGGAAGCGTTCACGCCGGAGGCGAACCATGACCAAATCTCCAACTTGAAATAACTGTTCCCATCGATGTAGGTCTGCAGCTTCTTTGTAGCGGAGATTCGCATTGACAATCTTTTGTCGAATGTCCGCCAGCATCTTGGAATAATCTTCGGCGAAGGAGGTAGCGGCGGGAGACCTGCATTTCGGTAAAATGGAGAGGTCTACAGCAGTATTAGGCGACTTTGTATATACTATATCAAATGGTGCCTTCCCTGTAGAATGATTCTTCATCGCATTGTACGCGAATTCAGCCCGAGATAGGACTTCTTCCCACTGTTTAGGCTGGTCTAGGACCAGACAACGAAGCATGTTGCCCAGTGTCCTATTCACGACTTTCGTCTGGCCGTCAGATTGGGGATGGTAGGCAGAGCTTAAGTTCAACTCGGTGCCGAGTCGTTTCCATAGTTCACGCCAAAAATGGCTTATGAATTTGACATCACGATCAGATGTGATGCTCCTTGGCAACCCATGTAAGCGAACCACTTCATTAAATAAAAGGTTAGCAACAATCAAGGCATTGGAGGTTTTCTTACAGGCGATAAAGTGGCTCATTTTGGAGAAGCGATCGACGACCACCATTATAGAATGGTGCCCTCGCCTGGTCCACGGTAAACCGAGTACGAAATCCATACTCAAATATTCCCAAATGGAGTTGGGTACTGGTAGCGGCATGTATAATCTCGTGTTTTGAGCTCCCCCTTTATACATTTGGCACGTCGGACAACTGTCTACATACCGGAAGGTGTCTCGTCATAATCGGGGCCAAAAGAATCGTGACTGCAATTGCCGAAGAGTATTGTCTCTTCCAAGGTGTGCCGCAAGTCCTCCGACGTGTGTTTCTCGGATAAGATGTTGCCGCCACGATGAGATCGGGATACAAAGTAAGTTCTGTTTGAAGAGGAAGCCATGCTTGACTGAATAATCTTCATGTTGAAGAGTTTCCTTGCAAAGTGTCCAGGGGGTTCCAAAATCCAAGTCTTCTTCATATAGATCTTTCAGGTGGTCGAGTCCCACTAGATCAATTTGTAACGTGATGAGCAGTACAGCCCTTCGGCTGAGAGCATCGGCTACTCTGTTTTCTACTCCCGGCTTGTGCTTTATTGTAAAATTAAAGCATTGCAAAAATACTAGCCATCTCACGTGCATCCGGTTAATACTTTTCTGCATGTTGATATATTGCAATGCCTTATTATCACTGCAAAGAATAAAATCTTGGTGTAGTAGATACGATTCCCATTGCTTGAGTGCCCGAACGATTGCATAAAGTTCCTGTTCATATGCTGCCCATTTCTGTCGGGCTGCGCATAGCTTCTCGCTAAAAAAAGCAACAAGTTTTCCGAGCTGAGATAATACTGCCCCGATGCCGATGGATGATGCATCCGTATCGACTACAAAAGGGTGCTCAAAGCTAGGGAGTGCTAAAATGGGTGCAGTAGTAAGAGCCTCCTTGATGGCTTCGAAGCTCAGTTGTTGTTCGACATCCCACCGAAAGATTTTAAATTTCAGGCACTCGGTAATAGGGGCCATGATCGTGCTGAAATTTTTAATAAAACGCCTGTAAAAATTGGCCAGACCGTGGAAGCTCCTCACGTCGAAAAAGGAATTGGGCTGCGGCCAATCCTTAATAGCTGTTATCTTGCGGATCTACTTCAATGCCACTGCTGGAAACAAGGAATCCAAGAAACTTGACCTTTGGAGTAGCCAGCTCACACTTCGGTAAATTGACATATAATTTCTGCTGTTTTAAAACCTCAAATAGAGCCTTTAGGTGATGTAGGTGTTGCGGTGGGTCCGAACTGTATATACGAGGATATCGTCAAAGTACACGATGCAAAATCTGCCCAGAAAAGGTTTCAGAATCTCGTTTATCATTCTCTTGAACGTGGACGGTGCATTACACAACCCGAACGGCATGACCTTCCACTCATACAGTCCCTGTGGAGTTTTAAAAGCCGTCTTCCATTCGTCACCCTGTCGGATACGAATCTGATGATATCCACTACGTAAGTCCAGTTTGGAGAATACCGTCGACCCCGCGAGTTGATCCAGCAGTTCGTCGATGCGAGGCATGGGGAAACGGTATTTGATAGTAATTTTGTTAACTGCCCGGCTGTCGATGCACATCCGCCACGTGCCGTCTTTCTTGGGAACAAGTAAAGTCGGCACCGCGCATGGACTGAGGCTAACTTGTATGAGCTGTTTCTGTAGTAGATCATCGATCAGTTCTTGGAGTATCATCTGCTTCTTTGGGTTGAGTCGATAGTGGGGCAAGTTCGGTAATGTAGCACCCGGCGTAAAATCAATCTGGTGTTGAATTTTTCGTAATAGGGGCAGCTCGGCAGGTAACTCTTCAGGGAGAATATCCCGATATTGCTCCAGGAGTTTGGACACTTCCTTCGGGTATTGCTGTAGTGAACTGCAGTGGTTTGGCTAAGTGACAAACAAGGCAAACATAGGAGTATGATCCCGCCATCCCGTACCAGATTAGTTCCTGAAACTAGATGGATTGCTGCCTGTTTCGCAGATTCCTTTCCTGGCGATGGTGTACCGGTCACGCCTGGTAAAAGTCGTAGCTTCCGCCCCTTCCAATCAAGGGAATATACATTGGCCCGACCATCATACTGAACTCCTACATCGAATTGCTATGGCCGGCCCAAAATCAGGTGGCACACGTCCATCTCCAAGACGTCGCACAACACTTCGCATGTATAATGTTTGCCAATGGAAAAGGTCACACGGCAGGACTCCGTGACAAGAATTTCCATTCCTTTCTTGACGTCCCAACTGATCGTAAAAGTCGTAGCCTCCGCCCCTTCCAGTCAAGGGAATACACATTGGCCCGACCACATACTGAACTCCTACATCGAATTTCCATGGTCGGCCCAAAATCAGGTGGCACACGTCCATCTCCAAGACGTCGCACAGCACTTCGCATGTATAATGTTTGCCTATGGAAAAGGTCACACGGCAGGACTCCGTGACAAGAATTTCCATTCCTTTCTTCACCCAACTGATCTTATACCGATGAGGGTGTTTAGTGGTATTTAACTGCAATCCTTGAACGACAGCTTTTGCAATAATATTTTCGGTACATCCGCTATCTATAAGCAAATCACACACCTTACCACTTATAGTGCACCGAGTTTTAAAAATGGTGTGACGTTGTGAAGCTCCATACTAGCGGGGTGCCAGTAGCAATTTTTCTAGAACTCCAATGAACGGTTCCCCCTCATCAGCTTGCACGTCTTCCGCCTCATCATCTTGTTCGGCCTCAGTACCTTCGGGCTCTCCTCCGTCTTCCATCTCGGCTAGTTGCACTTGCTGCCACTAGGGACACTCATTAGACTTGTGTCCTGGTTGAAAACAACGAAAACATTTAAGTGTGGATGGCCTCGCATAGGGATTAGCATTCTTTGGCTTCTGCATAGTTTTCCCGTCAATTCCTGCAGTGGACGGCCCAGCAGCAGGGGCGGTCGGATTGGTGTGCGGGGACACTCTCGCTAAAGGTTGTGAGTTAATTTTATTAGGAGTTGTACTAGGCTCTTGCCAATGCCGTCGATAGGAGGGAAATTTAGATTTGCGATTCTGCTGCATCTCAATTTTCATGGCTAGGTTCACGGCTTGGGCCGTAGACCAAACGGAATTCAGCTCCACTTGGTCTTGAATGCTGTCTTTGAGGCCTCCGATGTAACGAGCTACCAACTGATTGGCGGACTCGTTAAGATCATTCCTTGCACTCAATCGATTGAATTCTTTGGTGTACTCGCTGACCGATCTCGCGCCTTGAACACAATGTTGATACCTCATGTACAAAATTTGTTCGAAATCGGTAGGAAGAAATTGCGCCCTTAGCAATTGTTTCATTTTTGCCCAACTGCGTATACTGCTCCGACCTTCCCGGCGGCGAGACTGCAGCGTTTGTTCCCACCAGGCACTGGCTCCACCTTTTAATCGACACACTACATATTTCACTCGCTTCTCCGGGTCGATGTCCATGTAATCGAAAAAATTTTCAACCGCATTTTCCCAATCAAGGAAATCTTCAATGTGAAGATGTCCATCGAAGAATGGAATATCCAGTTTCACCTTAAATTCACCTGGGTGCTGTCGGTATAACGGAATTCGACGATTCTGATGGTGATCTACCTCATAGCGGTCCTCCACCTATTCACCACTGGAATGCCACTGATGATTGCCTCATTCCAGAGTTGGATCTTCCTCTGATTCAGACGGTTCTTGCGGAGTAATTTGGGGTCGCTGCATATTCCGCTCACCGTCCCTTCTCCTCCTGGGTACGGGTCAATTTGCTCTGACCTCTTCCCGAATCTGCTCTTGGTAATTGGCATCGCCTGAATGAGATTAAACTCTCGGCGAATCTCCACCGTCAGCCGCTGCACGTCGGCCGCCACGTCGTCAATCCGCCGCTTGACGCGTTCTTGATCAGCCCATATCATCTCAAGAGTTCGAACTCCCTCTGTCGCCGGCTCCTTGCCTTTGTCCGTCATTCAGTCTCCAGGTGATGGCTTTGATACCAAATTGATGACCTTCTACAGGATCGAGTTTACCTGGAAGAGAAAATACAAGTGACAGCAAGCAAAAACCAGGGATTCGGGTAAAAAGAATACCTCTGTATTATGGGATTGTATTACTCTTTGTAAAAAGAAAGAAGACAAGTAGGCAACTCCTCTCTTTCTCCTCTATGTATAACCAGCTTTTCTAAATGCTATTTTTGTAAAAAGTAAAAAGGCTGCAAAAATAACAGCTAAATAGAAAATAGTAAATAAGATAGTGGGGACTAAGTAGTTTGTTGAGATGTATAAAATGTGCCGCCAGTATGACTAGTTATCCGGTATTGCATCAGTATAAAGCACAATTTATTCTATAAGGTAAAGAATCCTGTATTTAATGGCTTCTTTGTTCTTGCGTTTAACATCTTGCTGAGTGTAAAGCATAGAAAATGATCCTCTCCTACTCTGACAACTATTGCCTTTGTTGTTGCTTCTCGCCTCTGTTTTGATTGTTTTATTTTCATAATGTAACAAATTGTTGATTCTTTTATCTATATATTTCTTCATTCAAAATAATCAAACTGAGAACTTTTGCTAGAAATTTGAAAGTGATTTGGACAAAGCATATGCTGGAGGTACATGATTTACACTAATGGCAGAATTAGAGTTTATTCTTTCTCCATGATCTGCGCTAATCACCTTTAACAAGATTTGAAATTAATTATGTTCTCATACTTATTTAAGATTTTAATTTTATAATATAATGATCGATTAATGTTTGATTGTTTTTAGTAAATAAAAAAAATTATAAAAGAATATTTATGTCGGTCCCGGATGAAAAAGTTCAGAAAATAAAAAATAAAAAATAATTATTTAGGCCCCGTCATAAAAATTCTCTAGTTCCGTACTGCTCCCACGATTCGCTGCTCTTCGGTGCAACCAAATTCCCGGCTTTCTGCTACGGAATTTTCATCTTCTCGTTCTAAATCCTGCTTAAGTCCTGCTACCGATAATAGACCCTCTGTTTGGCAACAAGTGGGATTTAACTTTAGTGGGATTTAATAAATCATGTAAATCCGGATTTAGTAAATTCGAAATATGTTAAATCCTAAAAACTGTTTGGAATGTTAAATGTTAAATCTTGTTAAATCCTGAGAAACTGTTTGGTAACATATATTAGGATTTATGGCGTTTAGGGATTTAAGTATAAAGGAGATATTTATGAAATTAAGATCATTGCATAAAATATAATAAAATCAATTTTAGGTCATATAAAATGACCAAAAATTCAATAAAAAGTTAATTACAAACTAATATGGACTAAAATGGAGTTGAAATATTAAATAAGCTAATTATATTAATATTTAATCACTAATTATATCATTAATTGTCGTTGCTTTATCGTTGCTGTTCGGCTTCGTTGATTCGCAGGTGTACAGATTGCGCGCGTCGCTACTTCGGTTCCTTCGTGGCTGTTCGACTTCGCTCCTTCGGCTTCGTTTATTTCGCAGGAGGTGTACAGATTGCGCGCGTCGCTACTTCGGTTCCTTCGTGGCTGTTCGACTTCGCTCCTTCGACGACTTTCCCTTCTTTTCGGATCGGAAGTTACGACATTTTGATCGGAAGCTAGAACAGGAGCTCGCTGGCTGTGAAGGTAACTTTCTCCCTTTCGCGCGCTTCTAATGTTAAATCCCGTTAAATCCACCGAACCGAGGGATTTAGTAAATCCGGGATTTACGGAATCCCGGGATTTAACGCTCGCACAAAAACCGTTTGGTTGGATTTAGCGTAAATCCGACTTAAATCCCACGATATATCCGATACCAAACAGCCCCTAAATTTCGGCGAAACATCTGGAGCTACGTTTCTTTTTCCTTACTAGAAGCAGGCAAGGGCTCTGCGATCACTATGAGGGATTCCGTGTCCCTTTAATTATCCCTACTTTCCACTGAATGCTCTTTTCTATCTTTATGTTCTCGATATAGAGATAATAAATGATGATCCTCCATGCAAATTTTATTATTTGCAGATGGGTTAGAACAGTGATAAAATTACCAAACAAGATCTGAGAAGCTCTCTAGTTTTGTATCAACCGAAGAAATTATGCTGTTATGCATACATTATGAAAACTAGGCTGCAGCAAGGCTTTTGCAGGTGCAATCAAAAGCATTTTAGATGTTGATCCCAATTCATTATCTTTTAATCTTTCTTTTTTCTCTTGATCGCTGTGCTTGTTAGCTGTTATTGTTTGCTTAGATCATGTTTCATTATATTTTCCTTCACATATTGTTTTTATGTATTAATTGTTGCCCTTTCTTTAGCATAATTTATGATTCTATCTATTTCGTTGCTTGTTGCAAATTGAGTAGATTTGATTTGTATGTTATTGGTTGTGGAATTAGGTTAAAAACTTATGCATCTCATTCTAATTAACTTAAGAATTTTTCATAGTATGATTATATCAATATTATTCTTTCCTATGGTGCCTATGGGAGAGATGGATAGAGATAATGAAAGGGGAAGAGGGATATTGAGAAAGTAAGAGAGAGAGAGAGAGAGAGTAAGAAAGAGCGGGGAGAGAGAGAGAGAGAGAGAGAGAGAGAGAGAGAGAGAGAGAGAGAGAGAGAACGTTGTTCAAGTTGTAAAAGGAAATCTCATCGTGTATGCCAATATATGCAAATTTTTTGCTTTGATCGATATTTAGGTATTCTTTAGTGTAATTTTCAACTAGGATACCGCCGCTAATAAACATCCGTATTAAACCCCATTTTATACATGTTTTTTACTCTCTAAGTATTTGTGATAAGCAGTCATTCTTAGAGTAGTGGCTGAGGAAAAATGGTAGTTTAGGAATAAGTATGTGTTTCAACTTTTATCTTTATTGAGTTTCTCAGGTACCAAATATAAAACTCTATTTGATAGTAAGAGGTAAAGCAAGGGAGGAAAAGGATGTCATCGATTCAAGTTCGATTGATAACAGTGTCCTTGGATGGAAGTGGAGATTACGACAAGGTGCAGGAAGCAATCGATTCAGTGTCACTTTCTAATGGCACGAGGACAGTGATCCAGGTGTCCCCTGGGCTTTACAAGGGTCCTTTATATGTTCCTAAGACCAAGAACCTCATTACCCTTACTGCTTATAGCCCTGAGAAGACCATTATCTCCTGGCAGAACACTGCCACATGCATTAACCACCACCAGGTTCGTAAGTACCATCATAGCGTTATCATATCTTTTGGTTGTCCTATCATGCGTTCACTCCTAAATTAGATTTATTGTCTTTCCTTCTTCCATTGATAAATCAATCAGGCATCACGTGTGATCGGCACTGGAACATTTGGTTGTGGAACCGTCATCATTGAAGGAGAGGATTTCATTGCCGAGAATATTACCTTTGAAAACTCAGCCCCTCAGGTTCATTTAGTAATATTGTTTTTGCACCGGGATGATGCAACGCATGCTTTTGCAGTTTTTTTTTCTTCTTGAATGCTTTATTTTTGCAGGGTTCTGGCCAAGCTGTTGCGGTCCGAGTTACAGCGGATCGTTGTGCATTCTATAATTGCAGGTTTCTTGGATGGCAGGTGCAAGTTATTTGACAATCTCCCTCTTTATTTGCATGCAAATTGTGCTTGTAGCATCTACTATACCTGTTCATTTTGTGATAAAAATTTCAAAATCTATAGAAAATCTGTCATCTAAATAAATCCATTCACTTAAATAATTATGAATTTGATAGCAATGGGACCAATTCTAAACCATTTTGGATAGTTATTGATGGTGATGGTCTTGAGTACAATACATTCAATTCTCATAAGAATTCTACTTTCCTCTTGGCAAGTTCAGTTGGATTGTTCTTGTAGACTTCAACATTATACTAGTAAAGGTTATTTCCTTGTCAGTGGAAGAATGTGACTCTTCACAATTTTGTAGGATACCGTATATTTGCATTATGGCAAACATTATTTGCGAGATTGCTATATTGAAGGAAGTGTGGATTTCATTTTTGGGAATGCCACTGCACTTCTTGAAAATTGTCACATCAATTGCAAATCTCCAGGATTTATAACTGCTCAAAGTAGAAAATCCTCTCAAGAATCAACGGGTTACGTGTTTTTGAGGTATGCTGTATTTACTATTTTTGCCCATGTGCTGTTTGTGTGCTGCAAACCATTTAGCTCTTCATGTGTAGATAGATCCCATGTTCCGTCCTTTTTTGTCACCTTTCATACTTTTACTGGCAAGCCACCCAGGCAATGAGCAGGGAAAGAATACTTCAAATCATTTATTTGTAGGTAGAATGTGAACAGTTGCAATAAAGCAGTTTAACTATTCATAAGAGTTTTATTTTCTTCTTGAGAAAATAACCTAAACAAAGCCACGCAATGGAAAAAAATTGCAATCTCCGTGTTTAATAATATTCATATCTTTGCATCCCTATTCATGCATCATGGGCAATAATCATGGTTTAAAGTTGTGCAATATATGGCTCGCATTTGTGCAATTCTAGTAAAAAACGCCTCGATGCTTATGCCTCGAGTTTTTTTTATGAGGCTTGCGCCTCAACTTGGTTGAGGCCCGCCTCTCCTCACTGACATGAGGCTTACGCCTCATGCTATATATATTAAATCTTATATAAATCTTGAAGTAAATGCCCAAAATTAGACTCTATAGGAGAGGAGGAAGGGGAGAGAGCAGTTCATCATAATGATGATTCAAATGAAGAACCCCTTAGTGATGACAGTGTTGATGACTTATGAGTTCTTATGTGATATGTTATTGCTATTTATTTTTGGAAATTTGAATTATATGTTAATGAAAAGAATACTGGGATTTGGGAAAGATAGAATTTTGAGTTGAACTATATTTCACGTTGTCTTATTATTGGGATATTTTGATTTCACTTCATATCTTATGTTTTATATTATTCACTTATTAGTAAATAAAAAATTTATCATTTTATGTTTACGCAATCTTTTTATTTTGAGGCTTACGCCTCAAAACACCTTGAGGCTTACGCCTCGCCTCACGAATGAAAAATGCCTCAATACCCGAATACGCAATTTTAAACATTGGCAATAATAGAAACTTTTTTTCTTCTGATAAAAAGAAAAAGAAGGAAACTCACTGATTCTTTAGGTCCTGTTGCTCCCCATCCAACAACCCCAAAGCAATTATGAACGATGCTAACAATTCCAGTAGTTGTGCATGTACATTGCCATGCACATACTAGCTTGCAATCACATGAACCAAAATAGTCCTTAACCACATTCATGAGTAGGGGCATGCATTATTTTAATAAAATTGAACCAAAACGGACTTATTTGGTTGGTTTGGTTTGGTTTTTAAATTATAGGTTTGATTAATTTGGACTTTCTTTGAATTTTGACTATTGGTTTAATTTTTGCTTTTGTAAATCTAGTCAAATAAAAAATCGAATGACATTAACATTTTCAAGTATTAAATAAAAAAAGTTCATGAATTATAGATAAACAAGTGATAGAAAGATTAACATGTTCAATGCTTTATATGCTTATTTGAAATTATTCTTTTTTTAATTACAAAATACTATTAGCATTAAAAAATTTGATTTACTTAAAAATAGAATCGAAGAAATCAAACTGTATTTCAGTTTGGTTGTACATATAGTTTGGTTGGTTCGTTTTTCTAAAATTTGAGATTCAAACCAATTTGTTTGACAAATTCATCAATCAATACGTCCAAACAATTTGAATGCACACCTATATTCGTGAGCATTTCTTGAATAGTGAAAAAATAATAATTGATTAAAGTTCAAAGCAGCAGTCCATGTTAATAAAAATAACAGTTTTTTTTGCTAGAAAGGGAAATCAAGCCTGGAAACTAACTAAACATAACATAAAATTAACATGGAACAATATAGTAATTAAAGAGAAAAGCTGTACTTAGAAGATAATGATTAAATAAACTAATGTGAGAATACAACACAAAATATCTAAGAAATGCTAAAAATGAAATTTTCTATTGATGAATTGCAATTATTCCATACCTCTTCCGTATTTTTCTTATTATCTTTGAATTTAAAGAAAAATCTAAAAGTACTATCGGAGCAAAATCATGAAGAAAAAAATTTAAACTAGTATGTTTCCATGCAATGAAATTCTACAGGAGCAATATCAAGCTTCATCCAATATATATATGTGCACAGATCTATACAATAATCATTATCATCAATCATTTCTAACAAAATGCATTTTTATCATAATTATAAAAGAATATGTCTATCATGTAAAGAACAATGCCTCTACAATACTCTATTCAATGCAATAAATGTATAATAATATGCATGCTATTACTAATTAAATCAGAAAAGCTAATCCTGTGTTGTATCATGTAACATATGTATCATATCATATGATAAATCAATATCATTTTAGATTATTTCTATTCCTCCATCATCCATATTCAATTATGATCAAAATGATCATCTATATATATTGAATTCATGTATATCAATGTTATAGATTGTATCATCATGCTCAGTCATATCAGCATGTCATGTTCATGTGTATCCATATTTTGCTTCATATCACATTAAGAATATCATTATCATATATCAATCAATGTCATAGATCATATCGGATTAGGGTCATTATCATATATGACAAGGCATTAATCATGTGATAATAAAATGTATTTGATCAGGATATGTAGAACATGACATTGTGTATTATCATATATCATTATCATGCATGTTAGTACTATATATCATATGAAATCGTCATATAATTATCAATCGTATGCCGAACGGAACTAGCACAACAATTACATGTCAATCATAAGGTGTATTCTCTACATCAATCTCTATTGGTCTATATTACGTTAGTAACATCATATCTATGCATCATTAATCCATATGTACCAATAGCAAGTTAGGATTTTCACATCAGATTGTACAGTATCGCCTATTATACAATATCAATTGTACCATATCATATCAGTCTTAATCATAGTCAGGTGGCTTCATATGGGAATTGTCACTCCCATCAATCATATTATATCCTATTATGCCTCCCATTATATTATGTTCATTTATGCAAAACCACTCAGCCTACCGTCTTACACAAGGTATCATATCATATCTCAACTAATTTGAATCAATCTTATTCAGCAGTCAGCTTTTCTTGGAAGCACACATTCAAATCTGATATATGTGTATATCATATTTCTTATATGTAGGCAATATCATGTAAATTATTGTAACAATTTTTGATAATCAATGCATTATGCTTATTTTTCTTATATACTTATTTAATTGGCAAATCAGTACAGATATATGCATGTTGTTGCCAATTAATTCATATGATGTCAAGTGTGTATGTTATATCAATTATGCATGTCCTGTTGATGGGGACATCAACAGGAGGTTCTGGCGCGTTTATTAGAGGATGCACCATAGATCGACGACTACGATTATGAGCCTTTATTTTTTATGCATTCTATGTATTGTTTTATTTTATATTTCAGTATTTCCTATTTTACCCCTATGGGTAGTTAGTTTGATATTGTAGCCCAGAGGGCACTTTAGTCCTTTTCTTTTGTTATGTTGAGGCTGATATATAAGGGCCATCTCTATTGTATTAGATGATGAATGATGAATGAAAAAAAATTACTACTTTCTTGTTCCCTTGAGTGTTGAGAGCTCTTGAGAGGAATTTGGTGAGATCCCTAGGAGAGGGAATTGTAATGCCCACCAGCCGCCGGAGGGATCCGAGCTCGTGGTTTTCTTCTTTTCTATTTCTCCTTCCCTTTCCAAACCACCACCACCTCTCTTTCCTCCACCCAACCGCCACCTACCTCTCCCACCGCCAGCCTTTCCTCTTACCCCAACCCATGGTCCAAGCCCCCCACCGCCAAACCCATCCTCCAACGGCCCAAGCTCCAACCTCTCCCCTAGCTACCTAGGGCCAACCTTGGATTTCCAATTCAAATTGCCTCCTAAAACTTTCCTAAAGTATCCAAATATTGATTTGGAAAGTCCCTTTTTATTTGCAAATTATTTCCTTATCAATAAACCCAAGTTAGGAAACCTCCCTAATCTCCTTCATCTAAAATTAAATTTCAGATTTAATCCCCCTATCTCCTTAATTACTTCCCCATTAAGGCTTTCAATCAAAGCCCTCCCTCCAAGGAAAAACCGCCCACCTAGTCCTCAATTAGTGGACATTCAAATTTCAAATTTTCTCCCTCCTTCCCTTCTTAAATTATGAATTAAAATTTCAGATTTTGTTTATGTCCTTCCCATCAAATTTAGAACAAACTCAAGAGACCTCACCCCTAACCCTAGCTGAAATTCCCCAACCCATTTTCCCCATTGCCTCCCTCCTCTCTTGCTTCACATATTATTTAAGGAAGAAGATTCACCATCATTTGGTTCATTTCTTACCATGCACGGCCGATCTGTATGTGGATCCTAGAATACTCTTCTCCTTGTCGAACATCATTGACAATATTAATCCTCCAATCCAGTGGAACTTCTACATCGTTCACCCACTCCTCCAATTCCGACAAGCTTTTCTCTTGACGGTATCATAAGATCCCTCTTTCTTTTGGTGACATCGTCAATACTGCTAAGCTTCTTCTTCCACTAAGCCATAAAGAAAATGAGTGAAGGAAACTCAAGGTGCATGTTCTAGATATTAATATGTGGATTCTTGTTATGGCATAGCTAGTTTTACTTTACTCTTTACTAATATTTTAATTGTCTTGTTACCCTAGCTTGTAATCACATGCCAAAGCAAATTACAATTGAGAATTCCGAAAATAAAATCTTGTGATACATTAACCTTAAAGTGGCAAGATCTACAACAATTTTCCTAATTCCTTGCAATTCCTATTTGTATCACGCACCTGTCATTGTCTATGTATGCCATGTCAATCTTTTATGCATGTAAATTATTTTGTCAGATTTTAATGCAATGGTCATATATCAATTTCATATGCATAATTATTATACTTTTTCTTGGAGAGTATGCATCAATTGTAGAAGTACATAGTGAAATATCAATATGATCATATTAATGTGCAGAACTAGCAGATCTATTACATATAAAAAATTACAAGTAAAAGTTCGCTAGAAATTCATATCACATCTTTTATGTATTCAGATCAATTTATAACCCGGAAATCCTACAAAATTCAAAACAACTGAAAACTGACCTATGGTATCAATTACTTACCTAGAGATAAATACTTTTTCTAACTTGCTCGATTGATGAAATTAGCCCTACAGCCTC